TCCAGGACGTCACTGCCGAGGGCAGGAGCACCCCCGACAGACGGAGGACAGGCAGGGTCAGAGACCAGAGCGTTGGCGTAGTCAAGGCAATGGGTAGAGGCGAAGTCAGGGACCGCAGCGTCAAGAGCGTCAAGACGCGAAACAAGAACAGACGGGTCGGTAACGAGAGAGGCAAGGACCCGAGGAACAAGAGGACGAGCGGCACGAAGGTAGTCAGACAGAGGGGGAGGCGCAACGACAAGGGAGGATGGAGGAGGCGACGGCACGAGGGGAGGACGATATGCGTGGGAACGAAGCAACATAGGGTGGGAGCGCGAGACAAGGGAGACAGGGCGAGCAAGGGAGGGACAGCGAGACCAGACGTGCGACGGAGGTGTCGGGTCAGGAGACAGAGAAGGAGACACAAGAGGGGAATGAGGGGGGAGACAAGCCGGGGACAAGTCCGGGGGAGAGAACACAGGGCCGTAGACCGGAAGAGGAGGGGACGGCAGGAGAGGAACAGACGCAGAGTCAGGGGACAAAAGGCTGAGCAGACAAAGGGCTGACACCGGCGAGGACTGCGGCTGATGCGGCACAACACCGACTCCAGGGCCGAAAGCGGCTCCATGGCTACCGCCGGAACACGCCACTTCTGCACCCCCAGAAGGAACACCCCTAGGGCCAGAAACCCCTCCAGCACCGGTACCACTCCCAACTCCAGCATCACCAGAGGCGACGAACGGCTGCTGCGGCAGTGACGGCGGCTGCGGCGGCGACAGCTGCTGCTGCGGCTGCGACAACGGCTGCAGAGGGAGTGGAGGTGGAGACACCGAGGGGGGGGGGGGGGGGCAGGCGGCAAGGACTGGGCCGCAGGACCACCAGAGTCAGCAGACTCCTCAACCGGGACAAGTGACGGGAGGGGAGTGACGTGAGACACACCGGACGGGGCAGGACGCGGGGGGGGGGGCGGGGCTGGTGCTACTAGGGACAGGGGAACCAGGAACAGGAGGGAGGGGGTAACCGGGGGACCACGGTGGGGAAAGCGGTGGTAGAAGGAGACAGACTCGTCAAAGGTGACGTCGCGAGGGTGAAAGAAACGGTGGGACGGCGGGTGGTAGAAGTGCCAGTCGAACGAGTCAAGGGGGAAACCAAGGAAGACACAGGGGACGGTGCGGGCAGTAAGCTTGTCCGTGCCAGAGGCACGAACGTGAGCAAGGCAACCCCAGACGTGGAACGCAGACGCGTCACCAGGAGACCCGGTCCAAAGAAGGGTCGGCGAAACCTGTGGCCGTTGAGGGTGCGGCCACAGGTTAAGTTGGTGAGCAGCGTAGCGAACCGCGAACGGCCACAGAAAATGGGGTGCACCAGCGTGGATCATGGAGGTACGAGCCACCTCCATGACCAAATTGATGCGTCGCTCAGTGGCCCTATTCTGCTGCGGCGAGTCCGGCAAGGTGAACGTCTGGGTGATGCCCTCCGCACGGCAGAAGCGACCAAGGACACCAGAGGCAAACTCGCCCCCACGGTCGGAGTGAAGACGCAAGTCAGGGAGACCGCGGTGGACACACGCAGAGACTAGACAGGGGATAAGAACGTCAGGCACGTCGGCCTTCCGCTCCAAGGGAAAGACCGTGGTGTAGCGCGTGTAGTCGTCGACAAGCACGAGGAAGTAGCGCTCGCGACGCGGTCCATGAACGGGGGCGGGGCCCTAGACGTCCATGTGCAAGGTCTGTAGCGGTGCAGTGGTGGGGGAGAACGAGGAGGAGTGAGGGGCACGGCAGAGCCGACCCTCGACGCAGGGCATGCACGGTGGCGCTGTGGAGGGGGGCAACTCGGGGAACGACCTTGGGAGACCGAGGACAAGACCGTGCTGTGACATGTGACGCAGACGCGGGAGCGCAGGGTGACCTAGACGGTGGTGCCACAGGAGAGACGGGTGAGTAAGCGACCGACACAAGCAGGTCGCTGCAACCTGAGACGACACAGCTACCTGGGGAGGCGTCTGAACCGGGGGGGGCGCGGTGTCTAGTGTAAACTGGCCAGACACTGGGTCCCGGGGGAACGCAGTGAGGGGAGCACCAGTGGCGGCCTCAGTACAGACAGCAAACCGCTCGTGACCAGGGAACGTAGTGGTGACGCCAAGGTCCTGGAGGCAGCCAACACCAACTAGGTTCCTCGAAAACGAGGGGACGTGCAAGCCTGTAAGCGAGCCCGAAGGAGCCGGCGGGCAGGGAAGGGTGGTAGAGCTACGGGCGACTACCGGACCGGAGGAGGGGTCAGCAAGGGAAACCGCAGCAGGAGCAGCAAGCGGGGACAAAGTAGTGGAGTCGCGGAAGAAACACCGGGAAGCGCCAGAGTCCAGAGTGAAGTTGAGCACAGCTGTGGTGGCCGAGGACGAAGCAGCGATGGAGGAACCTAAGCTAAACAAGGCACGAGGTCCTACGCCTGACGCAGCAGGCGGGGCAAGACTAGGCACACCTACACTAGGCAGCACGGGGTAGTAAGAACCAGTCACACTAGAGTCATCAGCATACAACACATACAGGGCAAAGCTCCATGTCCATATCAAAGATCGGAATACTACGGCGAAGCAAGCTGTACCAGTCGGGGAGGTCGGGCGACGGGCAGAAGCGAAGACGAAACAGGTCGTCAAGGCGACGGAAGCAGCGAACAGGGGAGTGACCGGTCTTACCGCAAACTAAGCCGCGGCGAGGACCGGTCAGGAGCTGGTACTGGCAGCGCCCGTCACCCGAACTGCCACCCAAGGGCACACCACGTCCACCGCCGCCATTAGCGCTAGGCCACCCGGGCGGGAGACCACTCGCCCGCCTTTGCTGCTGCGTCTGCTGCTGCTGGAGCTGGGGCTGCGGCTGCGGGTGGTGCTGGTTTGGCTGCGACGGCTACGACTGCGGGGACGGCTGCTTGGCTACACCAGGGACAGTTCCCCCATCTGCGCCACCACCAGGCCCCGCGACTCCACTCCCACCTACACCTGCACCCCCACCCCCTCCGCCGCGCCCAGCCTTGGGGCGGCAACCCTTCCCCGGACGGAACTGCACTGCAGCGGCAGTCTCAGCCACAGCAGCAGAACCGTCGGAGAAGGTGCACTGGGCAGGGGCACAACCCTGAAAGATAAGGACCGGGACAATACCGCTAGTCTGGGCGATAGAGCGGTGGCGGGTCTCTATGGCAGACAGGGTGTCAACAAAGTCGGTGAGGGTGAGGTCACCGGGGTGGATGCTAAGGAAGCGGTCGCGGGCAGTGGCAAGACGGTCAGGAAGGCGGGTGGCTAGCAGGTAGAGGGCTGAGCAGAGGGGCGGCTGGTGGGCTCTAAGCTGGGTCTTAGTGCAGGCAGAGCGCCAGGTCGCTTCTATCATGCGCAGGTGGGCGGCAAGGTCAGCGACAATGGGGAAAGACGCAAGGTCAGGGAAAAGCATCGGCAGGATCAGGCGAACTACAGAGGCAGCAGGCGGGGTGGAATAGCGCTGGACAACAGCATCTATGAACGCCTGCGCAGTCTGGATGGACTTAAAGTAAGGGCGCTCAGAGAGTGGGAGGGCATGGCTGATAGCAAGCTGCGCAACAGCGTCACGCGGCAACCAGACAGAGCGAGCAAGGGCAGCAGCTGCAGCGGACTCACGCTCAGCAGACGAGGGGTCAGCGGGCAGCGCAGGAGGGGGGTCAGGGCAGGGGAGCATACCGTCAAGGTGGACAGACAGCGAGTGGCCATCCTGCCGCTGACCAGTGAGATGGCGGCGGAGGTCGACCAGCCACGCATCAAACTCAAGCGGCTGACCCTCAGCATCGAAGCGAAGCATGTCCGCCATCAGGAACAATGCAGAGCGGGGAAGGGCAGTGCAGTGCAGTGAAACGCGATACTGTGCGGTGCAGAGCGGTGCAGTGCGGTGTTGTGCGATGCTGTGCGGTGCAGTGCAGTGCTGGGCGGTGTAGTGCAGTGCAAAGCAGTGGAGAGCGGCTCTGGGCGGTGCAGATCGGAGAAGGACGGGCCGGGCAAGAGTCGGAGACGGGCTGGCGGCGAAACGAAACCGGGGCCGGCGAGGAGTGGGCGCGACGGCCAGGGGGCCGACTAGGAGTGGGCGCAACGGCCAGGGGGCCGGCTAGGAGCGGGCGCGAACGGCCAGGGGGCCGGCTAGGAGGAACGCGACGGCCAGGGGGCCGGCTAGGAGCGGGAGCGAACGGCCAGGGGGCCGGCTAGGAGCGGGCGCGAACGGCCAGTGGGCCGGCTAGGAGCAGGCGCGACGGCCAGGGGGCCGACGAGGAGCGGGCGCGGACGGCCAGCGGGCCGACGAGGAGCAGGGGCGACGGCTAGGGGGGCGGCTAGAAGCAGGCGCGAACGGCCAGGGGGCCGGCTAGGAGGGGCGCGACGGCCAGGGGGCTGGCTAGGAGCGGGCGCGAACGGCCAGGGGGCCGACTAGAAGCGGGCGCCACGGCCAGGGGGCTGGTTAGGAGAGGGCGCGACGGCCAGGGGGCCGGCTACGGGCGGGCAGGAACGGCCAGGGGGGCCGGCAAGGAGGGGCGCGACGGCCAAGGGGGCGGCTAGGAGCGGCGCGACGGCCAGGGGGCCAGCTAGGAGCGGGCGCGACGGCCAGGGGGCTGGCTAGGGGCGGGCGCGAACGGCCAGGGGGCCGACGAGGAGCGGGCGCGGACGGCCAGGGGGCCGACAAGGAGCAGGCGCGACGGCCAGGGGGGCGGCTAGGAGCAGGCGCGAACAGCCAGGGGGCCGGCTAGGAGGGGCGCGACGGCCAGGGGGGCGGCTAGGAGGGGCGCGACGGCCAGGGGGCCAGCTAGGGGCGGGCGCGAACGGCCAGAGGGCCGGCTAGGAGCAGGCGCGAACGGCCAGGGGGCCAGCTAGGAGCGGGCCTAACGGCCAGGGGGCCGGCTAGGATCGGGCTGGTGAGCTAGCTAGGAGCGGGCACTAGGGCGGGTAGGGCCTAGGGCGGAAGCGCAGGTGGGCGGGATGGACCCAACCTACTCATGACACCATATCAGAAACAGAGAATGACTAGAATAGGAAGATACAGGGCAATATAGACTAGTGTGTTGTACCCTCTAAGGCACAAATCTGTATAGTCTACAGTAACAACATAAGTTATGTTTGACAGGAACTGCTGAGAATAAGAATACGGGCATGGCTATACATTTTGCACTACATCACACCACATACCCAAAACCCATCACAATTCTCGTCATCTTGGTCGAGCATGGAACCATGCACAAATGAATGCACAGAGACGCACTCGTACATACCCACGTTGCACAATAAAACCGTAGTGTCATGCCATCCTAGCCATTGTTCCTTTTCTGCCGCAGCTGGTTAAAATGATGAGTGTAGCTCACGCCATCCTCAGCAGCGTCATACAGGATAGGTAGTATGGACACTTTGCTGCCTAGTTGACCCACGCAACTGTCAGCCTTGGTTACTTCCTCACTTTTTCCCATGCCCTTTCCCTGGCTTGTTTCCTGACTCCCTCTCAGTCTTCTTCCCAAAATTTCCTCCTGGCCCCCTCCCTGTCTTCCTCCCTGTCTCCCTCGCGCGCTCTCATTCTCACATCCCCCATGTCTTTCACTCAGATTTCGTTCCTCGGCCGCACAATTCGAATGGATCACCACCTCCTCCTCCTCCCCCCGCCTCACCTTAACATTGTTTCTCATTTGAGCAAACTGTTCCGTGAACCCGACCCCATCCTCTGCTGCATCATACAATGCTGGCAATATAGGCCCCATACTGGCAGCACTCCCAGCACTCGCAGCACCGGCGGCGCCAACAGCACCGGCAGCACTGGCAGCGCCAACAGAACTGGCAGCACCGGCAGCATTGGCGGCACTGGCAGCGCTCAAAGCACCGGCAGCACCGGCAGCGCTCACAGCAGGTTTTCCTCTCAGCTGAGCGAATCGTTCCGTGAACCCAACCCCCTCCTCTGCTGCACTGTAGAACGCTGGCCATATAGGCACTGCTGGCTGGAAACCCACTTCTCCCTGACCTGTCACAGAAACTGGTCTGGGATCATAGCATACTGATACAGCCCCCCCGATCCTAGAGCCGCCGATAGGGCCGCCGTTAATGCCGCCACTAGGGCCCCCGTTAGAGCTGCCGACGCCGATGCTGCTGTCTGCATTGGCCCTGTGGGCATTGCCGGCGTGCTGCAGCATATAGTGCAGATCTGCAACTAGCTGCAATTCCTGTAGCTTCTGCTCCAATGCCCCATCGGACCAATCATCGGCACCCCCCTGATCCTCCTCCTCCTCTTCTTCTTCCTCCTCCTCCTCCTCCTCCTCCTCCTCCTCCTCCTCCTCCTCCTCCTCCTCCTCCTCCTCCTCCTCCTCCTCCTCCTCCTCCTCCTCCTCCTCCTCCTCCTCCTCCTCCTCCTCCTCCTCCTCCTCCTCCTCCTCCTCCCCCTCCTCCTCCTCCTCCTCCTTCTCCTCTTCCACCTTCTCCTCCTGCCCCCCCTCCTTCTCCTCCTCCGGCCTCTCCTGCCTCTCCTCCTCCTGCTCCTCCTGACCCTCCTTTTCCTCCTCCCCATCACTATCAGAGTCTAAGACCCCCAGCTCTGGCGGCAAAGCCTCATTCTCCCAGGGCCCCTGTGCGGCCGAGGCTGCATGGTAGATTCTAACCAGATCTAACGCCTCCTCCCGACACATCTTGCCCTGATCCAGTAACTCCCTGAGTGAACCCCCTTGAGTAAACGAGTCCGAATCAGACGCAGTGGCAGAAGCAGAAAAGTCAGCTGAGGCAACACCTGAGGCAACACCTGAGGCAACACCTGAGAAAACACCTGAGACAGCACCAGCAGCAGAGGAGCCATATCCACTGGGAGGGGAGATTAAGGGCCCTCCACGCGCATAAGGAAGGAGTACACTGGGAGGAATGCAACAATTCCCGCTATAAGGAACTGGAGAGGGGAGCGCTCCGCTATAAGGAGAAAAAACTGTTCCAGGCGCCTTGGATTGGTTGGGTGGCTGAAACGAAGGCTCGGTAGAGGAGGTTGGTGATGGGGATGCGTTTGCGCCTGAGGAGAAGCTCACAAAAAAGGGCATGAATGTTGAAGCCTGGGGCTTCGTTACAAGCACAAGGTCTGGAATTCCGTCAGCGACAACAGCTGCATACGCTGAACCTGAAGGGGCTGGGGAAGACAGCGAGGAGTGATCTTGACGTGTCTCCTGGTTGACAGCTGGCTGCAGGTGATTGGCTGGATTGTCTGGTTTGATCTGGCCGGACACCAAAACGGTTTCGGTATTTGAAGAAGCACGTGATTGGTTGGAGGAGGGCTCGGAGTTGGAAGAAGCCTGCGATTGGTTGGAGAGCCAGTGGTGGAAGCGGAAGAGGCGCCGAAAGCGTGCCTTGGCACGAGGGTCAAGATGGGTTGAAGAAACGACCGACAGTGCAATGTCAGACCCTGAAACAGCACCTGACGCAGCACCTGAAGCAGCAGCTGAAACAGCACCAGAAACCGCATCAGAAGCAGAGTTAAGAACGGCGTCAGAATGCACAGCGCCTTTAACCTTTTCTTCTCCTTCTCCCCCCTCGGCAGCTGCTGCTCCTGCTGATACCACCACTGCTGCGTTTTCTGTCGTTCCTCCCATTGCTCCTTTTCCGGCGCTGCTGGTGCTGTTGCTGCTATGGGCGCAATCACCACCTCCTCCTTCCGGAATGCCTTTCTTCTTGCGTCTGCTGTAGCCGCTGCTTCTGTCCCTCCCACGCTCCTTCAAGTTGATCCTTCCCATGCCTCCAGTCACCTTGCTGGTAACCTTGCTGGTAACCTTGCTGGTAACCTTGCTGGCAACCTTGCTAATCATCTTATTGGAAAGTCGCTGCAACAAGCCGGATGACGCTCCTGACCCTGAAGCCGTACACGTGGCATGTGCTCCAGATTCTGACGTCGCAGAGGGAAAAGAGTCTCCCGGCGGTCCTGGATCCGCGGCTTTATCTCCGTTAATAACATCCGCGTCAGAACTCGTTAAGCTTTTCTGCGTGGTCGCCGCCATTCGAACGAAGTAGTGTTCCGCTGTTTCGAGAGAAATAAATAGATTAGGTTGAAGAACAGCAAATTAGCAGGCAGCAGCGAATAAACCTAGGGACTATTTTGTAAAATCCGACCGCGGAAGGGGGAGCCTCGAGAAATAGAAACATAAGAATTCACGGTATTATGTAATAGGAAAATTACATCCTCAAGTTCTCGAGGTTAGTAAAAGCTGGGGCTGCAACGAGAGGAGCGGGAAAGAACCGAACACTAAGGGGTTATGAAGGGACAGGAATCGTAATAGCTCGTCCTAATAGCTTACTAAGGGAGGAGCTATTATTCTGAGCTACTACGCTTGACAGGAGCGGTAGGGGCTTATGAGCGGAAGCAAATGATTAGCTACGTGGTTGCCAGACTTGCAAAGTCGAGCGGGATCGCGTCGTCGTTACTAAATGAAATAAATTGGGGATTCAGGCTCTGCCGATATTGAGCACCCAGCGTGCCGGCCGCTTCCGCCAAAACAATTTGTTAGGGGAAGCTTAGCCCGTTCTTCCACCGTTGGTCAAGTGCGGTGCAGTTGGGTGCCTCAGGATGTGAAGCGGTTCTCGGACTTCACCGCGTTGGAACGCAATGCACCGAAGATGCAAATTGAAAACTCACTTGCAGCCTGGCGAACCATTCAAAATGGTTCTACACTCTCCCATCGAGAATTCAAGTTTTGTGCACTCGTGAACCACTGCTTCGCAAGTTTGCATGTCCGCAGTGAGTGTAAGCCGTTCCTCGCGCGTTCTAGCTTATCGCTTGCTGCCATGTCCGGTCGCTTCTCTGTTTTCTCGTCTGTTCGGAAATTTCACGAGGGGCGGAAATCCATTACGGCAAACAGTATTGATCCACTAACTAGGTCGGGTGCTTATACTGCATCGTCCCCTGCCTTTTTCGCGACAAAGAAGGGATTCTCCAGCGAAGCAGCTCCAAAGAACTCCCTCCCTGGTCCGCGATCCACGCCGCTCTTCCGCGTGCTGAATCCCGAGCTCTACGTGAAGCCCAACGCGGCGGTCGCGCTGGTCGGTACGGTGGCGTTCGTGGGCGTGTTGGGGTCGCTGTATCTCGAGAAGCGGGCGGTGGAGAAGCAGAGAGCGGAGGCTAAAGCGGCGGCTGAAGCTGCGCTGGTGGCGTCTGGCCGAACGATACCATAGGACGACAGGGTGTAGTCAGAATGGTAGAGGAAACAAACCCTCAACCCTGATTTAGCCATCTCGTATCCGTGACTGTAGATTTAGCCGTCCTAGACCTCCGGAATAAGGATAAGGCCGCAGCCCCTGCAGTTTCCCACATTGGACTGTTCCATCTACGGAAAATCCAGGCCTCTAATTTGGACGAAGGGAGTGCATAAGTTGCGTTGCTTGGGGAAGTTGGGTAACATTGCAAGCAGTCTTCCTAGAGGCGCCATGCTTTTCCTCCACTGTGCGATCTTCATTGCCGCGTATGCGCTGATATGTGTGGGTGCGGCAAAGACTGAACTGGCAAACTGCAGTCATGCAGGTGAGATGCATGGAAATCTAGACTTGTGGGATCTGTGCTGCACACATGCAAAGCTTGGCATCTCTTAAAACGGTAACCGCACCATGCCATCGTGTCTGTTTCCCTGGTCTGTTTTCCAGGTCTACCATTTGTACGAAGCATTGATTCAATCCCCTTGTCAAACTTTGGCCGCCCTGGGTTGTCTCATGCTACAGTTGCTGGTCATGTTCACCATGGCACACAGGAGGTGAGCATGTAACCAGTTAGGCTTGCTTCCTTTGATGGTACCCATTATTGGTCTATTCATGGAAATCTCTGTGGTTTGTTACCAGGTAGAAGTTTGGATGCAGACTTTTGCTCCTGGAAGTGGGACTCCCATTCATAGACATGGATGCGAGGAGCTGTTTGTAGTTCTGAGCGGTTCAGGGAAGCTGTTGTTTGCTTCATATGTCCCCGATCTTGATGCACAAAGCAAAATGCGGGCATTGGAAGGGGTTGCGGGAATACCAGTACCAGGTCCTCCCGTTCCTACACCCATCAGTACCAACATGACATTCATTGTCCCTCCCAATCAAGTCCATCAGGTATTTTCCCTTGCTATCTATATCCTGCAGAAGATAGTCATTCTCTAATGACAGGTCCAAACACCATACTCCTGAACACCGTACTTGTTCTGCAGATCTTAAATGATGCGCCTGAATGTGGCTCTGAGTTCTGCAACTTGCTGCAGCTTCTAGTCATCATATCTGAACCTCCAATTCACGTGTAAGTTCAATGACATGAATCTTTCCTTCGTCTTTTACCAGGTTCTTCACTGATAACTTTTGTGGTTTGCAGGTATGCATACAACTCATGGGATGCCCCACATAGACAAGCTGTTCTGAAGTTCCCGTATCCATGGGATCAAGTGTGCCCTGATGCTATTTCTCAGCAGTCCTGATGATGATTGTCCAGGAGACGATGTCTTGGGATCCAGTGTTAATCAGTATGCATCATTGTGGCCTATTTGCTCGCAGCAAATACGCATGGCCCAATGTCAAATTGATCTTCTGTAGGAAATCGGTCCTTCAGTGCTTGCAACATCTCTTGTGTCAGCAGTGGTCGCACCACTTGTTGAATGCCATCCAAGCTTGTCCAGGTCCTTGTGACGCCTTGACATTTGTTGCTCTCTTCAAGCGGAACCCAGCTGAAAGAGTCAAGGACCTTCCAAAACTCGCTGAAGGGGACTCGGTTAATGTTCTTCTTGGTGAAAATAAACTCCAGTATACCGTCAATCAAATGAAGTGGTCCCATGTTTCGTTCAATCAGAATCGTCCTCAATTGTTGCTGCGAATAAAGGAGGTGGCCCCAAGGAGGAATAAATGTTCCATTGTTGGCGTACCTGCAGTGATGGTCATCAGTTAGCTTGACCCAACACGCAACGAAACAAGGGGAGTTGTAAGAAACGTACGTGAAGGAAGCATTCAGCTTTGCAGCTCGTCTCTGCACCATGTCTTCGTGTATGTGGTGGCCGAAGGGACCTGTCCACACAGGGTCCCATAGAAACAGAACTAGTCCTCCAGGCTTTAGGACACGGAACGTTTCACTGATGAACAGCTTCAAATCTGTCACATGCTCCAGAACGTTGTCGCTGAAGACCACGTCGAATGTTTCATTTAGAAACGGCAGAGTCTTGCAGTCGTTGCTCAGAAACATCGTGTTGTTTCGCTTGAATCTCAGTGCCGAAGTATCATCCCTTTCAAAGGGGCAGTTAACCCCAACATACTTGCCAACAACTTTTCCCAGTTCATTCCCAACACTTCCGGTCACATCGCTGCCGTTCTCCAGCATCGCAACGTTGCTGAGGTCAGATCCGAGATGCCTCCGCATGAAGTCCTGCAAGGTCTTGACACCTCTCAGCCGGTACAGTGGAAGTGGATCATCCCCTGACGTTTCATCGCTTCCCTCTCCCGGAACTGTCACAATTAGTCTGGAATTGCGGTCGTAAACAACTGGAATTCCGAGTGTTTTGGTAGCATCTGCACATGCGCAAGAATCAGCAAAATCTGGTTGCTGAGGAAAAATGAGGTGGAATGCTCCATCCCCAGCTAGCAGGAGAACGATCGTAAGGAAGCCGAGCGTCGCTCCACACAGGAGAGATGTGTTCTGCTGTGCCTTTACGTGATCTTTGACCTGAGAGTATGTCTTCGCCATCTTGGCCTCTTGGCCTTGTTCGGCAGCTGCTATGTTTCGAAGTGGAGAAATGGAATGCTGGGGTGAGAGTAGGTGGAATGTACGGTTGGATTTCCTCGAGGTACTGAATTGTGGTTGAGAGGAGGTTGGAGGAGACAGCCTCGAAACTATCAGCTTCGAGAACGCCGCACTCGCGTCATGTCCTTCGCGAGCCAATCCGGAGCCAGGAACGTCGATTTGACGGCGAATGGAATTGGTGGTTTTGTTCTATTTGAACACCCCCGACAGTTTGAGGTTACTGACCCAAACATTTTAAAACTCCTCCCACCCAACGTTTCTTCAGAATTGAAGTACTTGCACCATAAATTCCAAGACCCGGCCTAGCACGAAGACTGAGCACGAAGCACTCGCACCATAACAACAATTTCACTTGAACTTTGAATTGCACTTCCCTCGCTCCCATTTATGAGAGCGTATTCCCTGGTTCCGCCTGATGAACCGCATCGAGACACGCTTTCTCCACCTCCGATGCCACCAACTCCAAATTTGTATCCCCAGTGCTTTTCGGTAAGCTACCTCCCTTTTCTGTGGAGCTATGGCTTCCTCGAGCTGCAGCTCCACTTACGTGGAGCCATCAAGCTACCTTACGACTCTGTAAGGAAGACGCTAGACTCCTACACTCTCCTCTCTATCCACATTTTCTTTTACTCTCACTTCTCCATTAAACCTTAATTATCTATTTCCACCATGGCGAACAATCGCACAGGCTTCGGCCGGTTCCGTGGCTCCTTGGAAGACCTAGTCGGCTCCTTACCCATCACCGAGCCTCTCTTAAGCGGTCGAAGCCCACTAGAATACTTCTACGGTCTCCCGTACCGGCCTAGCCAGCCATCGCCTTCACCATCCCCCCACACTGGATCCGCTCTCACCGGCCTTTCTGACCCAGAAAACGAAACTGATAATATCGAGGATGGCGTTATTGCGGTTCCCGGTCAAGTCCCCGTTCCCGGCCGGGTTCCAGGCTCCAGGCACAACATTTTCGTCCCCGGAAGGGGGTCTAGACCTGGGTCTAGACCTGGTGTTGCTCCCACCGTCAGTGGTCAACATGTTAGGCGTGTAACCCCCCCCCAAGTTCCTTCGCCTGGAAATCGTGCGATTCCTCCCGGTCGCCGACCTCCTCCCGCGCGATCTCCCTCCCCTTTTGGCTCCCTCGCGTCGCTCCACGAAAAGACTCCTTACCTTCCTGACGAGGAGGAGGGAGGAGAAGCTTTCGAGTCTTCTCATAAGTTATCTGAAAGAGAGCCGCCGTCCCCGCCGTCCCCGCCTTCCCCGCCTTCCCCGCCGTCCCGTCGGTCTCAGCTTCCGCCGGCGCCGGCGGCGCTAGTGCGCGTGGTTAGTCGAGCGCGGGAGGACGGGACCACGTCGTTAAAGAGCTCGATATTTAATCTCTCGAACACGATGATCGGCGCGGGAATGATGGCGCTGCCAGCAGCTATGAACGTCCTAGGGGTCGTGACCGGGAGTCTAGCGCTTATCTTCGTGGCGCTCCTGACTTATGGGTCTGTCATGGCGATGGTTCGCTGCACCGTCGCCGCCGCTGCTGCGGCTTCTTCCCCGTCTGAGGAGTCTCCGGGCTATCAGGGCTCTTCCACGTCAGATGAAGCGGCGGGAGCAGCGTCAAGAGGGAGAGGGGGTAGGCAGGGAAACGCCAGAGAATCTGGAGCGACAAGAAGGGTGTATGCGAGCGTTGGCAGTAGTAGTATGAGGGATGATGAGAGACTGAGCTATAATCACACTGTGGCGACCGCTCTGGGAAGCACGGGACGGCTGGTGCTGCAGGTGTCGATAGTGGTGAACAACCTCGGCCTCATGATGGTGTTCCTCGATATCATCGGTGAGCGCTTTGCTGCTTGTACCCGTTATAGTATTCCGTGGTAAGTGTGTTATGCATGGTGGGAAGCACATTCGGCAGCACGAGATGGCTGGTGCTGCAGGTGTCGATAGTGGTGAACAACCTCGGCCTCATGATGGATGGTGTTCCTCGATATCATCGGTGAGCGCTTTGCTGCTTGTACTCGTGGATGCGGACCATTTGATCAGTGGTTGGTCGGTGATACGTGTGTGTACTCTGTCCGTCCTCCCTAAAGAATCCTCAATGTCACTGTGTGAGCTGCACAAGCATCCAAATGTGGCCAGAATGACAATGCTTGCTATAGTGCGTCCCCTTATGCTATTAACGTTTCCTTTTGCTACCTTTTTTACCCTTTTCCCCGTGTGACTGCAGGCGATGTGCTTGTAGGCAGCAGCACTGGGCCTGGCGTCCTGCCACTGGATCAGCTGCACTTGTCCCCAGACGTGGCCAGAAAGTCTGTCCTCGCTATAGTCATCCTCCTTATTCTGCCTCTCTGCCTGCAAGATAGACTTGGTGAGTCTTCTTCACGCAGTGTTCACTTGGCAATCCATGTCGTCTTTCTTTTCGTTTTAAGCTTTCATGTCTGCTCCCATCCCTCTTTCCCCCTCGTTCCTCGAACCCGAACCCCTCATTAACGGCCTTCCAACCCCCTTCCTCTTCCCCGTCGATTGTTCTCTCTTCCATCCATCCATCCTCTCGGTTCTTCTTTTCTTCCCTCGTCCTCTCCACCCATCAGGATCCATGAAGGTCGCGAGCAAGATCTCATTGGCGCTTGCATGCAGCCCCTCAAGCTGGCTCCCATCTTTCCCTTGTACCTTACCTACTCATTTCAACCCAACCCAACCCCTCCTTCCCCCCCCGTCAGGATCCATGAAGGTCGCGAGCAAGATCTCAGTGGCGCTTGCATGCAGCCCCTTGAGTTGGCTGGCACTCATCTTTCCCTTGTATTGTATCTTACCTATTCATCTCAACCCAACCCCTCGTTCCCCCCCGTCAGGATCCATGAAGGTTGCGAGCAAGATCTCAGTGGCGCTTGCCATTGCGTTTGTGCTGCTCGTGCTGCTGCTGTCTGGAGGGAAGATCGCTGCCGGCGCTGCCACCATGCCGCCTCCCTTTGCCATGACCGGCCATGCTCTCGCTGTTTTCAGCGTCATCAACGTTGTCACAAACGCCTTCATATGCCACTTTAATGGTGAGTCGTTTTCTACCATAACAAGTTGTGCTATTGCGTTGCGTGTACACCTGACCATGCCCTCACTGTTTTCAGCGTCATCAACGTTGTCACAACAAATGCCTTCATATGGTATTTCAACGGTGAGTCATTCTCCACCACAACAATATGAACTTTGTCGAGTTGTTCCATAGCGAGTACAAGCGACCATGCTCTGACTGTTTCCAGCGTCATCACTGTCATAAGAAACGCCTTCATATGCCACTTCATCAACGAGTGTTATATTCAAACGCCTACCCAGATGTATCTACGACTTTGACACCAGCCTGGATGTCATTCCAGGATGAGCCCCGTCTACCTCTCACTGCCATCCATCTGTGCCTTTCCTCTGTGCCTTACCTTCTGTTTTATCCCTGCCAGTCACCCCCATATACAGAGAATTAAGAGACCGGTCTCTCCCCCGCATGCGCACAGTGGTGCGCTGCTCTGTCATCATCACCACGCTCATCTACCTCGCAGTCGGCATCTTTGGGCTCGTTCTATTCGGCCCGGACGTGCACACAGACGTGCTCTACGACTTTGACACCAGCCTGGATGTTATTCCAGGGATGAGCCCGGTTATTGCGGCCCATGCTGTGGCTCTAGGGCAGGGAGTTAAGGTGGGGTATGCGGTTTCCAGGGTGCTCTCGCTGCCCCTGGCGCTGTTTCAGCTGAGGCTGGTCGTGGCGTCGCTGCTGTCTTCGTGTCTGGGAAGGAAAGGGAGAGGAGGGAGGGATGAGGGGCGAACTAGCAGCAGCAGCAGCAGCAAAAATGGGGTAATGATTGGGGCAGGTGATTGTAGCACCATGGAGAGAACCAGGGTGAGTTCCCTTGGTTATATTCAGGTGGATGGGAATGAGGGTGGGGAGGAGGAGGCAGGTGAGGAGGGGGAGGGAGAAAATGAGGAGGTCGATTCAGAGGATGGGGAGGAGAGTGGAGAAGAGATGGAAGAGGAGGAGGGGGAGGAGGAGGAAGCACGGCTCGAAGAGCTTCGAAAGGCAGAAGAAAAAGCAACCAAGAGGAGACGTTTCTGGCGCCAAGTCCGATTCGTACTCCTTACAGTGTTCCTCCTCGTTTTAGCCTTTTGTGGAGCGGTGCTGGTGCCGGATATCTGGATAGTGTTTCAGTTTATGGGGTGCACTGCAGCCGTTATTATAGGGTTCGTTTTCCCCGGGCTTGTGGCATTGAAGGCCAAGGGAGGGACTGCTTCTCTCTCTGATGCAGTGGTGGCGTGGCTCCTGGTGTTGGTGGGCGTTGCTGTGGGCGTCATTGGCATTGTCGTCAACATTATTGTGCTCTCAGCAGATGGCATGCATTGATGGAAGCAGTGTGGTGTGCATTGAGGCAGCAACATGCATAAGCTGCAGGCAGTTAGGTTAGGTGGTATCAGTGCAGGGTCTGTTAGCCCTGGCCTGGGCTTGTGGCACTGAAGGCCAAGGGAGGGACGGTGTTGCTGTCTGACGCAGTGGTGGCGTGGCTCCTGGTGTTGGGCATTGCTGTGGGCGTCATTGGCATTGTTGTCAATGTCGTCGTGCTCTCAACTGATTGTCAGCGTAAAAACGAATCACACGGAAGAGCCACACAGAACAAATACCAGTTGGTTGTACTCGCTAGAAGCACACACTTAGTCTAGCCTATAACTTCTACATATATAATATGTATAAGTTGACACACCCCCTAGGCTAGATAAGGGGTGGTGCTAGGCAAGAAGCATGCAGCTCAGGGTGGCACCACTAGTCCAACCACTGAGGCAGGGGTCCGGAGACCAGTCAGCAAGAGTACAAACAGTACAAACGCAAGGCACGGCGGCACTACTAGTCCAGCCACTGGAGGTAAGGCCACAAGGCTAGTCAGACAGGTATATATAGTAGAGAGTACACAATCATGGCCCTAGCAAATGAGAAGCTACAGGAACAAGACCAAGCTGTACATAGTGCCGCTGATGATCTTTAGGCGCAAGCGCCTTAGTAAAGATATCAGCTGTATTGGCACCGGAGGCCAAGTGAACTACACGGGCCTGGCGACGCTGCTGTAGCTCGCGCAGGAGGAAGTACCGCAGCTGGATATGCTTCGCTCTGCCCTCAAGCCGAGGCTCCTGACACAGGAGGATCATGGCCCTGTTGTCAGAGTACAGGACCGGGGCAGAGCTAGGCCGCTCACCTAAGTCAGTGAGCAAGAAGGTCAACCAGCGGAGCTCCTGTGCCGCCATGGCACCAGCGTAGATCTCAGCCTCACAGCTGGACTGAGCAACAGACGAGGAGCGAGTGGATCTCCAAGGGATAGCACCCGAACCAAGGGTAAAACAGTAGCCCTAAGACGACCTGAGAGTCTCAGAGTCGTCTGCCCAAGAAACGTCTGTGTGCCCAGTAAGGACCACCGGCCGGCGTCCTCCTAGCACTAACCCCATGCCCGATGTACTTGCTAGATATCGCAAAACCCTCTTAGCGGCCGACCAGTGCTGTGGCCGGTGTCTGCCAGTGGCCACAAAGCGAGCCAGGATGCTGAGAGGGTATGCAAGATCTGGGCGAGCGCAAGTCATCAGGTACATGAGGCAACCCACCAGCTCTGCGTAGGGTCCACTGGGCTCTACTGGCTCCTCAGGAACTGAAGCAGAGAGCCCATGGTCTACAGGTAGAGGTGTGGGCTGTGCGGAGGAGAACTGAAGACCGAACCTCTGAAGGACCTGACGCAACAAGTGTGACTGTGTCAGAGTGATGTTGCGTGCTCCATTGTCCCTGGAGATCTGCAGGCCAAGATAGCGATGCAGCTCTCCAAGGTCAGTGCAGGTGTGTCTCTTCAGAAGCTCGGCCTTCCAAGAGGCCAGCGCGTCCCTGTCAGCAGTAGCAAAGACTAGGTCATCTACGTAGACAAAGATGTAGAACGGAGTCTGGCCGGAACGCACAAACAGCGACGGGTCAGCAGAGGACGGAAAGAACTGCAGGTCTGCTAACGTGGCACGCAGCGTGTTGTGCCACTCGCGAGGAGCCTGACGCAGGCCGTAGACCGGGCGCCTGAGAAGCCACTGGGTCCCAGGGGGGAAGGTACCAGTAAAGCCCTGTGGTCGGCGCAGGTAGACCTGCTCGTGTAGGCTGCCTTGAAGAAAGGCAGTAGAGAAGTCGAGGGAGTGAAGCTCGTAGTCGCGCTGTGCTGCTACGTGTAGCAGCGCCTGAAGAGTGGTCATCTTCGGGGTTGGGGCGAAGGTCTGAAAGAAGTCAACCCCCTCGCGCTGACTGAAGCCTCTAGCCACGTAGCGCGCCTTGAACACAGACGGCTCTCCTGGGGGGTACTTCACCTTGAAGAGCCATCGACCATCGACTACGTTCACCCCAGGCGGGGGAACTGCGTCGACGTAAGTGTCGGTGGACCTCCAAGATGCCATCTCCTGCTCCATGGCAGCTATCCACTGAGAGGCCCAAGGTCCCGAGGTGGCCTCAGCGTAGGTACGAGGAGTCGGGATGTCGAAGGCGTCTGGGTCACCCTCAGGGACTAACAGCATGGAGCAGAGATGGGGAGCAGCCTCGGAAAGGAAAGCGAGCTCGTACTGTCTGTCCTCTAGTACGTCACTGCCAAGGGCACGTGCACCCCCGACGGACGCAAGATGGGCAGGGCCAGAGACCAGAGCGGTAGCGTAGTCAAGGCGGCGGGTAGAGGCGAAGTCAGCGACAGCAGCAACAAGCGCGTCAAGGCAGGAGACAAGAACAGACGGGTCTGTAACAAGTGAGGCAAGGACCCGAGGGACAAGGGGACTAGCGGCACGGGGGTAGTCAGACAGCGGGAGAGGTGCAACAACGAGCGACGAGAGAGGAGGCGAGGGGAGGAGGGGAGGACGAGACGAGTGAGAACGGAGTAACATAGGATGGGAGCGCGGGACAGGGGAGACGGGACGAGCACAGGAGGGACGGCGAGACCAAACGTGGGACGGACGTGTAGGGTCAGGAGACAACGGAGGTGACCCAAGGGGGGAACGAGGAGGAAGACGGGCCGCAGAAGAGTCTGGGGGCGGGAACACAAGGCCGTAGACACGAAGGTGAGGAGGAGGTGGGGGAGACACCAGTGAGCGGTCAGGGGAGGGAAGGCCGAGCAGGCAAAGAGCGGAGACCGGTGGCGACGACTGCGGCGGCTGGTGCTCAACCCTCGAACCGGCAGGGGCACGACGATCTCCGGGAGAACACTCAACAGCAGCACCCCCAGCACCAACACCCCCAGAGCGACAACCCTCTCCAGCCTCAGCGGCACACCCAGGCCCGCCAGGACAGATCACGCCAGGAGCCGCAGGACGAACACCCTCCTCAGCGCCAGCACCCCCAGAAGCCAGCGGCGGCGGCGGCGGCGGTTGCGGCTGCGACGGCGGCTGCGACGGCAGCTGCGACGGCGGCGACAGCGACAGCGGGGGCGGAGACACCAGGGAAGGGGGACGCGGCAAAGGCGGGGTGGGGGGGCCACCAGAGTCAGCAGACTCCTCAACGGGGACAACCAACGGGAGGGGAGTGACATGGGAGACATCACACGGGGCAGGACTCGGCGGGAGGGGAGGAAGGGCTACCGGGGGAGAGGGGGCAAGGAACAGGGGGGGGGAAACCGGGAGACCCCGGTGAGGGAAGCGACGGTAGAAGGAGACGGACTCGTCAAAGGTGACGTCACGAGAGTGGAGGAAGCGGTGAGACTGCGGGTGGTAGAAGAGCCAGTCAGACGAGCAGTACGGGGACAGTGCGGGCAGTGAGCTTGTCCGTGCCAGAGGCACGAACGTGAGCAAGGCAGCCCCAGATGTGGAACGCAAACGCGTCACCGGGGGACCCGGTCCAAAAGAGGGCCGGCGAAACCTGCGGCTGCTGGGAGCGTGGCCACAGTTAAGCTGGTGAGCGGCGTAGCGAACGGCGAACGGCCACAGAAAATGGGGTACACCGGCATGGATCATGGAGGTACGAGCCACCTCCATGACCAAGCCGATGCGGCGCTCAGCAACCCCATTCTGCTGTGGCGAGTCCGGCAAGGTGTACGACTGGGTGATGCCCTCCGCACGACAGGACTGTCCAAGCCGACCAGAAGCAAACTCGCCGCCACGGTCAGAGTGGAGACACAACACGGGGAGACCGCGGTGAAGACGCGCAGCCACAACCCACGGGAGAAGAACGTCGGGCATGTCGGCCTTCCGCTCCAGGGGAAACACCGTGGTGTAGCGCGTGTAGTCGTTGACGAGCACAAGAAAGTAGCGCTCGCCACGCGGTCCGGGGACGGGGGCTGGGCCCCAAACGCCCAGGTGCAAGGTCCGAAGGGGAGCAGTAGCAGGGCGAAGCGAGGAGGAGTGAGGGGCACGGCAGAGCCGGCCCTCGATGCAGGGCGTGCACGGTGGAGCAGGCGAGAGGGGAAGGGCGGGGAGCGACGCGGGGAGGCCTAAGACAAGACCGTGCTGGGACATGTGATGCAGACGCGGAAGTGCAGGGTGACCTAGGCGGTGGTGCCACAAAAGAGACGGGTGAGTGAGGGACCGACACGAGCAAGTTGCAGCGACCTGGGAGGTCGCACCAACCGGGGGGGAAGCGGTGTCGAGGGTAAACAGACCAGACACCGGGTCCCTGGGGAACGTTGCAAGAGGGGAACCTGAGGCTGCCTCGGTACAGACAGCGAACCGCTCGTGCCCAAGGAACGTGGTGGTGACGCCAAGGTCCTGAAGACGGCCGACACCAACGAGGTTCCTGGAGAACGAGGGAACGTGGAGGCCTGTAAGAGAGCCCAAGGGAACGGCTGGACAGGGAAGAGAAGTGGAACTGCGAGCGACGACAGGACCGGCAGAGGGGTCAGCGAGGGAGACATCAGCAGGTGCAGCAAGCGGCGTGAGCGTGGACCGGTCACGCAAGAAACAGGCAGAAGCACCGGAGTCAAGAGTGAAGGACAGCGAGGCAGTGGTAGAGGCAGGGGATGAGGCCCGTGCAGAAGCTAGGCTAGACAACCTAGGCACTCCTACGCCTGACGCAGCAGGGGACGCTATGCTACACAAGGGTGAAACACCTAGACTAGAGTAGACAGGGTAGTAAGATCTAGCAACACTAGAAGCGTCAGCATACAAGGCATGCAAAGCAGCACCTATCTGATCCATGTCTAACTCAAAGATCGGCATGCCCTGGCGGAGCAGGCTGTGCCAGTCTGCCGGGCCAAAGCGACGACGAAAAAGATCGTCGAGGCGGCGAAAACAGCGCACGGTCGGGTGCGGGCGGTGGCACAGAGTGCCGCGGAGAGGCCCGGTCTGAAGCTGGTACTGGCAGGTCACAGCACCGGAGCCGCTGGTAGACGCCAAGTTGCGCGAGCCGCCACCACGGCCACTGCCTCCGGAGGTGCCGGGCCAACCAGGCGGGAGACGAGCCCACGGCTGCGGCGGGTGCTGCTGGGACGGCGGCTGCGGCTGGGGCTGCTCCTGCTGTGGCTGGGGCTGCAACTCCTGCCCACCGGTGATAGTCCCCTCAGGCGGACTACCGTCACCACCACCACTACCACCACCACCTGCGCCACCACCCCTACCTCCCTGGCAGCCATGGCCACTGCGACGCGAGCGCTGCTGCGGGTGGACCGCAGCAGCCGTCTCGGTAAGAGGGGTCGCCGTGGCGACCGCAACCGAAACGTCAGTGAACGTGCACTGGGAGGGTGCACAGCCGTGAAAGATAGAGCCGGCGCACTGCTCGACTAGGCGATAGTGCGCTGGCGAGTCTCGATCTCAGT